TGTATAGTAGGAAAAATTTCTTTACTGGGAGAGTTGTAAAGCATTGGACCAGGCTGCCCAGGGCAGTGGTGGAGTCACCATCCCTGGAGGTGCTCAGAAAACTTGTAGACGTGGCCGTTCAGGACATGGTTTAGCAGGCACGGTGAGGATGCGTTGACGGTTGGACTTGATGATCTCAGAGGTCTTTTCCAGCCTGGATGATTCTGTGATTCTATGCTGTGCTGAGGAAGACCTCTTGCTACCTGTTCCAGGCGGTCATTGCTGCCGGTTCCTTCAGGACGGTGAGGGAGACCCCGCATCCCAAACCACCCCAGTCGCGCAGTGAGACAACCTGAGGCGGTTTCAGAGCTTGCATGACTTCTCCAGGAGCGGTACGCTGCGGGGTCTCTGCCGTCTGCTGCCTGCGGACGAATTCACGGCGTGCTTTCAAGCCCTTCCTCCATGGCTGCAGACACGCTCTGCTCTCATACGGGAAAGGTGTGATTCTCACCTTACCCCGAGAGATGGGACACGGAGCAGAGCCCCGCCTGGAGAAGGGCCATGGAGCTGCCGGCGCCGGCAGCACTGCCGAGCAGAGGGCCCTTCCGACCCCCATGACTGCACTTGCAGGAGCACAGCCTGATTGACCTCTGCCCGTGAACATCAATGCAGCAGGGCCCTTTGCGGCCCCGGGGAGGTGACCACCCCAACCTCGTGCTGTCCTGAATATTTTCTTCCATTTTACAGATTGCAAGCTTAGGCACAGAGCCTGTGTCAGGAATGCAACACAAAGTCCAGGCAAGGGTTCAGGTTTCTGGCTGAGGGAGCTGGGCTTGTTCAGCCTGGAGAAGAGAAGGCTGAGAGGGGACCTAATATATACTTACAAATATCTGCAGGGTGGGTGTCAGGAGGATGGGGCCGAGCTCTTTCCAGTGGTGCCCAGCGACAGGACAAGGGGCAACGGGCACAAACCGAGGCACAGGAAGTTCCGTCTTAACATGAGGAAGAACTTCTTGAGGGTGACGGAGCCCTGGCCCAGGCTGCCCAGGGAGGCTGTGGAGTCTCCTTCTCTGGAGATATTCAGGACCCGCCTGGACAAGGTCCTCTACAGCCTGCTGTAGGTGACCCTGCTTTGGCAGGAGGGCTGGACTAGATGACCCACAGAGGTGCCTTCCAGCCCCTACCATTCTGTGATTCTACCTCGCTCTCTGCCAATTCCTCTGCTGACATAAGCACAAAAAGCCAAGACAGCGCTTCTGCTCCCGGAAATGTTGGTGGAAACTCAAAGGAACGGTGTTAAACCAGTCCCTGGTCCCAAGGGCAGGCGCTGGGTGGAAATGGCACTCTGCTCTGCTCCGCTGATGCTTTTCCCTCTTTCTGTTCCCTGCAACAGGCATCATGTCCACTACGTCATTCCGTATGACGGGGATCAGTCGGTGGTGGACTCCTCGGAGAATTACTTTGTGACTGACAATGTAACCAAGCAAGAGATCGACCTGATGCTGGGACTTTTGCTGGGCTTTTGTATAAGCTGGTTTCTGGTGTGGATGGACGGGGTTCTCCATTACGCAGTGCGAGCCTGGAGAACCAGCCGACGGTATGGTAAGTGCAGCCTCCCGGGCTCCCTTCGCTCCCCCCAGCCCCCCCCCC